CATTTCTTCTTCGTTGGGACGAACAATTATGAACTATCGATATCCGGTTTAAATAATTATCGAACTCAACTAAAATTCCTATTTTCTTATTAACTAATTTAGAGGACAATTCTAGTATTAATTATAGTGTAGAGAATTTAGCGATGACGGAAATAATAGCGAAATCCAAATCGATTACGTACGGCTGTAGTAGTAATAAACATTTATTTCCTCTCATTATTTGTAATGATTCTGCAGGTCATTATTAGTTTGAGAAAAGTGTATTTTTTATTCATAAGTTATAATCTATCGATTCCATCTTCATGATCTATCTGTCAGAGGTATATGAAATCTATACTATAATTATAAAGAGGAAAGATTTGTATTTTTGTATGTATTGAAATAACTCGAAAACTACTGGGGCGATTTTAAAAATTCTTTCACTGTCAGAAAGGTTATTCATCTGTGAGTAACAAAGGCTATATTTTATTTTTAGATACTTATGTTTAGGAACTATTAATAAACAACATATTACTGGACCACGGCGTTAAAAAATCACAATGATTTAACTTTTCTCGGCTTACGCTGCCTAAACCATATTTCAATACATACAAAAACACAAATCTTTCCTCATTAATAGATTTTTCAGAAATAGATTAGTTATTTTAATTCTCACCCTTTTAAATAATACGTCCTTTTGTTCTTATTAAGGCTCTTCAACGCGGTAAGATGTGAGGGTTCCAGAGAGATGTACTGCGCCTTAAGATTGTCATACAAATGGCCAGCGCTGGTCGCCTTTAAAACCACACTTCGACTATTGTGAAGCTGGTAACTGAAAATACAATATGCTGTCGAAATTATCCTTCAAAAAATGCCTAAATTGGCATAGAAATTACCATAAAATGACTTAGTATAACTTAAAACATTATACCCACAAAAAAAACAAGGAAAAGAAATGTGACACTTTAGATGCATGTATGGATGGATGTTTGTTAGCGTGTGTAGCCTAAACTGCTGAATGGATCTCGATGAAATTTGGCATACATGTAGAGGATAGTCTGGAAGAAAACATAGGCTACTTTTTATTCCGGGAATAGTTACGGTTCCCGTGGGATTCACTAATTTAGATTTTTAATGTTTACTCGATTTTTCTGCAACGGTTCAACATATCTTATTGAAATTTGACACAGATATAAAACAAAGTCTACACAGTACACATGGGATGAGGTTCATCTCCGAGAAATATCCGGTTCCCGAGGGATACGTAGCTTTTTGTTATTTATATAGTTCACATGTTTTCTGATACCACGCGGACGAAGTCGCGGCCAACAGCTAGTAATATTCTAAATGTGATAGTTTAGATGGACGGATGGATGTTTGTTACAGTTTGTAGCCTAAACTGCTCTATGGATCTCAATAAAATCTAGCACAGACGTAGAAGATATTCTGGAAGAACACAGGCCACTTATTTTTATTTTGTATTCCACTGGGAGTCGAGGACAATAACTAGTTAAATATCAAACAACACTCACGCGACAAGCATCTGCCCCGGGGTTACTCCAACGCCTGCCGCCATTACTGTCACTAGAGGGTCATCTATAACCGGAGGTAAATCGCTCTTGTGTTCCGCCGGAGTTCCTTTAGAACCCAACACTCCATAGCAACTTAATCTCATACCATACGCGTCACAGAAACCACCCAATCGTTCTTGACTTAAATACGGATGACATTCCACCTGGAATTAATTACAATTAGAGGACCTTTGACTAAACTATCGCAAAATGCTTAGTCTCGCTTTGATTCCTA